ATGTCCAGTCTCACGAGCTGGCTTCTTCCTTGCCACTTTCATCCTCTCTCTATTTCATGGCCATCGTTCTTGTTAGCCGCATTCAAAACTCCAAATGGTCTCTGCATCATCCCATGTCATCTAAACATCCCATCTGTCCGGTCCTGTGGCTGGGTTTGACCTGGTTTCCCAAGAGAAGCGCTCATGTAGCTGGTTCTCTTCAAACACTGTGTGCACAATATACAACACACATTCTCCCATATGACTGCTCACTGTCAAACGCTCCCTCCTGCTTGTCTGCACACTGTACGATCCACCAGGCCCTGGATCAAAGCAGGCTGCCCGGATCCTCGAGGACACCCAGCACCCACCAGGCACCTCAGGTCCAGCAGAGCGCAATGCCCAAGGTTGATGGTGAGTGGCTAGATCCTCCTAATGCGTTTGAACAGCTGAGTAAACAGTCCTTTGCTTTCACAAAACAAACAAAAAAAACACAAAAAACCATTCTTCTACCTTTTAGAACCCACCAAACCAGTTTCCTTGTTTTTGAAGGGGTAGCTATGTTGGCCTTTGCTAGCATAAAACAGGCCTTGCACATCTGCTCAGGTGTGTTTACAGGGAGGCAACTGACATTTGGAAAGGGGCAGGTGTGTTTACCAAACCAGGGTGAGGCCTAATCATTCCAGAAACCTTCTTGATACTTGTGTCTTAGGATTTCCCATAATTGTTAGAACCACATTCAAGCATATCCGAGCACATTCCAGCACATTCCAGTAGGACTGCAGGGAGAAATCAGGTGCCCGCTTCATCTGTGTACCATATTTGGGAAACTTTTGGTACAGGGCAAATTTTAGATTTACTTCTATTAGCAATAATAATTGAAAATAGTAGCATTGGATAAAAATCTGGAGTTTGGTTAACAGCAGAGTCCAATGTTGCTTTTCTCATTTTGACCCAAAACTGGAGAGGTAAAATTCTAGAGAAAAAGGTGGTAAGGAATATATAAAAGTCTATCTACCATCCTGGAAACTTTTGTCAAAATCAAAAGTTATCTCAAAAGTTAATTTTTTTAAAGTAGTCTGTTTCCCCCTTTTTAATGCGGGGCACGGTACAAGCCCTTCAGGAACACTATCTCGTTCAGTGGGAGAGCCGTACTGTGATGTAGACTTGAGTCCACAGATGAGGAGATGAGACACATCCACTGACAGCAAAATATACATTGGAGGAGGCAGCTGAACTCTGATTCTCTGCCTCTCTGCACGTGTGTGCATGCATGTGTGTGTGTGTGTGTGTGTGTGCGCGCGCGCGCGTGCGCATGCGTGTGTGTGTGGGGGGGGGGGGGGTGCTGGGGATTAAACACAGGACTTTGTGAATGGCAGGCTAGGTAAGTGTTCTGCTATTGAGCAACCAGATTAAGGTCTGAACCATTCCAACTCCTGAGAGCCAGCCTTTGTTTCTCATGCTGTAACAATACAAACAAAAGAACAGCTGGGCACCAGAGGCTCCTGCTTATAATCCTTGTTACTCAGGAGGCTGAGATCCTTGATCCTTTAACAAGGAATTTTGGAGTACTACTATCCCAATTCAAACCATAGCATTCATTCATTCATTATCCTATCTATTCCTTCAAGGTTGGGGAATAAAGAAGATTTTGCTAGCCAGTATGAGATATGCCAACTAAAGAATTCTAGAATCTGAGATTTGCAAGGGATACTTGTACTTATTTATTTTTGATTATGGGGCTTGAACCTTGGGCCTGGGTGCTGTCCCTCAGCTCTTCAGCTCAAGACTAGCGCTCTACCACTTGAGCCACAGCGCTACTTCTGGTTTTCTGATGTTTTGTTTTTTGTTTTTTTTTGGGGGGGGGTCCGGTCTTGGGGCCTGAGCTCTGGGCCTGGGCGCTGTCCCTCAGCTCTTCAGCTCAAGGTTAGCTCTCTACCACTTGAGCCACATCACCACTTCCGTTTTTTTTTTCTTTTTACATTATGTGGTGCTGAGGAATCGAACCCAGGGCCTCATGCATGCAAGGCAAGCGCTCTACCACTGAGCCACCTTCCCAGCCCCTTCTGATGGTTTTTATTGGAGAGTCTCACAGACTTTCCTGCCTGGGCTGGCTTTGAACTGCGATGCTCAGATCTCAGCGTCCTGAGTAGCTAGGATGACATGTGTGAGCCCCCAGCACCGGCCTACTTGTATTTTAAAACTACAGATTTCTGTCTCAACACCCAAGTTCTGACTAAGGAAGGCTGAATAGGGCCAGCAGTCTGCATTTTGAGGTTCTCTCTCCCTCAACGTACCCCTCATTCTCTTCCAGGTGGGGAGTTTCACACCCTAGACAAAAACCTTCTGGAAACAGGCAGCGGCCCTTTGCTGCACAACCCCCAGCGTGGCCTCTTTGTGGAAGCTGCCCTAAAGTGTGAGCATGGTGAGACAGCATTGCGTCCCTCCTGTCTCCGTTCTCCACTGTTATACACGCTGACAGGGCTACAAAGATGCCAGCACGAGCAGCTCTGGGCTTCTAGAAGAGTGGTCTCAGGCCGTGCTGAGCTAGATCTGATGGCCAGAGACAAAGTGTGAGACTTTCCCTAGAGGTGTTTGGGGGATGCCTTTTACCTTTTTTTTTTTTTTTTTTTTTTTTTTTTGGGTCCGGTCGTGGGGCCTGAACTCTGGGCCTAGGCGCTGTCCCTCAGTTCTTCAGCTCAAGGCTAGCGCTCTACCACTTGAGCCACAGCGCCACTTCCGGCTTTTTTCTTTTTGCTTATGTGGTGCTGGGAATCGAACCCAGGGCCTCAGGCATGCAAGGCAAGCGCTCTACCACTGAGCTACCTTCCCAGCCCCGCCTTTTACCTTTTTATCAGGCAAGATGGCAACCCACAAAATGTTGCTGGTAAAGCATGGGAAGTTAAAGTTAGATTTTTCATACATTTTTTTTTGGTCGGTCACAGGGCTTGAACTCTGGGCCTGGGCACTGTCCCTCAGCTCTTCAGCTTAAGGTAAGCGCTCTACCACTTGAGCCACAGCGCCATTTCCAGTTTTCTGAGTGGTTTACTGGAGATTAGAGTTTTACAGAGTTTCTTGCCCAAGCTGGCTTTGAACCACGATCCTCAGATCTCAGCTTCCTGAGTAGCTAGGATTATAGGCCTGAGCCTGGATTTCAGACATTTTAATTTTGAAAGGATATATTTATTTTGACATTGTCAATACTCAGAGTCTCATTGAAGTGGCTATATATACTATGTATGTATGTATGTATGTAAATACACACACACACACACACACACACACACACACACACACACACACACACACACACTTTTTTCTTCCCTATTTTCCAGCAAGGCTGACTTTGTTCCTATTATTTCTCAATTGTGGCTGTAATCTCCCCCTAAGGCCTGCCAGCTCATTCTCTAAAGGGACGGACAAGTGCATACGAATTATCCTCCAGCTACTAAAAAAAAAAAATGTACAGGACCAGATGCCACTTGGGGAATCACAGAGAGCTGGCCCAGCCCTAGCTCGCCAACATGACAAACAGGAGAGCGGCTCTGCTCTTCTACTCAGCGGAAGCTTGAAGGCTGTGGGCGCGGCCGCCTCAGGCCCCACGTGTAAGCACTCTCCCTTGTGAGGACGCACCGTATAGGATCCACTGCTGCCGGAAGCAAAGCAGCTTTTTCTTCTCCCCGCCCCCCTCCCTGTTTTCCAAAGGCTCTGCTTAGAGACAATCAAACCCCAGGTGCCTGTCTACCTGTAACTTATCCTTTAAAAGTCCCATGAGAGTTTTCTGCAAAAGGAATCTATTTTAGGTAAGGTTACATTGGATTTTGCATTCTATAGTGTACCGAATTTTTCCAGATGTTTTTTGCACCTCTCTCCTCATCTCTCAGGTTATTATTTGGTACTTAATGGATAAGTGGCTTCTTTTTCTCCTCCTTCTCCTTCTCCTGTTCCTCTTCCCTTTCCTCCCACTCCTCATTATTGTTATTATTATTTTCTTTCTGTGTGCTGGGCAAGAGTACACTCTCACTTGCCCCATAGCCCCAAGTGCAACTTAACAGTATTTTTAACCCATCAGCCAACGGTGGGCATGTAATTATTTCTAATATTTTAACTCTGTGTCAGATGTCTTTGCTCATGACATTTTACATGGTAAAATATATTGTTAGCGAAATGAGTCCCTTCCCAGAGCTTAGTCCACTCCTTTCCTTCGCCACAGCTTGGCATGCTCCCTTTCCTAGGCAACACCAGGCCCATGTAGTAAAGGCAGTAAATAATCAGCCTCCAACCCCCTTTACCTTGGGATGGCACTTCTCTGGGCAGCTACCACCATACAAGGCAACAAGAGCCCCTTAGAGTGACCTTCAGGTCTGGGCAGCTGCAGGACCCTTATCTACCATTTGGATAGCAGCCATAAATCCTAGTCCAACATGATGAAGCCCCTGGCTTGTATAGGCTATATAGGTCACCCCAGACAATAGCCAGTGCTTCTTCTCATTCCTCCCTTGTGAGAAGGAGTCTTGCCGGCCCCCTTTCCCCGGCAATAAACCTTTCTTTGTTCTCTGTACCTGGATGTCTATGTGGTTCTCTGGCAAAGTCTAATTAATCTTAATATCCTATCATATATCCTATGACAAATCAAGGTGGATGTGTGTGCCCTGCAGATGGCTTTGTATTGTTCAAAGCCCTTCTGAAACACTATTAAGTAGAATTCAGAAAATACCTGAAGACATATGTAATGCATAAATGATTGTTAGACAAGTAACAACACCTCACCGGGCCTTCCTATGCTTTTACCCCACTGCCTCTCTGAAAGAAACTTTTATTTTGTGACAGTTATATAATTGTTGCCACAAAAATGCATTTGAGGAATTATAAGCTAAAGGGAAGTCAAGTGAACATGAGATCCAAGCACACGTAGAATTAACTAGAATAAAATACGAGCTTCTCTTAAGCCAGTTTCTTGCCTTTCATCTTTGCTCCTGCCGGCTGCATGAAGCAACACAACTGTTCATATCGCTACTCACCACAGCGCAAGTCGCTGTTCGATTTCCTTGAGGAAATTGGTATGAAATTTGTGCAAAGGCTCGAAGTTTGGGAAGATGAGACTTTTCAGTGTGTCGGGCATGGCGTCATCTTTGCTTGCGGCACTCTGGAACCACTGGGAGTGAACAGAAGACAACTCCGTGAAGATAACTGACGGACCTGGCATCTCTGCCCAAGATTCTCAGCATTTCAGGGTGCCAGGCCTCGCTGCCCTCCATGCCTCATCCAATGGGAAAAGCACCCTTCTCTGTCAGATGGTTTTCTGAAAGTTGTTACCCACGGATTGTTCATTTGAGACAAGACAAATCTCTTAGATAGGCAACTCCGTGGACCCAAACCTTCGTCTTGGCCATGTCATTAGAGAGCTCCTGCTCCTTTGTTTGTGATTGTGAACAGCCTTTATAATGACTGCCATTTCTAAATGCTGAGCACAAAGGGGGCATCACAGCACACTGTACTACCTGTACTGAGCCCCTCAGGTCACTGTGTGGCCCTAAAATAGATCCTTTTGTACCTTCTAAGGGCCAACACAGGGCTCCATCCAGGAGGGACTGAGGCAATGAGTCTGGTGGTCTGCCTTACCAGCTGGCTCTTTCCCACAGTCCTGGGGCCAAAGTCCCCTACAGGGCCCTGCCCTGCCCTGACTGGTTCTAGCGGAGGATGCTGCTGACTATAATCAAGTCAGTCTGCTCCATGCTCTGCTGACAAGGCTCACCGTAACACTCACAGATAAAACGAGTTTCCTGCTCGTTCTGAGGTCTCCCTCGAGCAAAAATAAGCAGTTACACCTTGACAAGAGCAAAATAGAATGTTCTGGATCAGTGCATGCAGGCAGTAAAATGCTTAATTTGAATGTGCTCTGCCTTAGGTGCCTCTTTCTCTCACACTTAAAGCCATAATTATAAAAATTTTTAGAGCGTATTTCGAATTAAATGTACTACAGGCATTTAATTTCTATAACCCCAGACCAGAATTCTTTCGATTGAAGTCAGAGAAGCTAATATTTAATTAGCTCTGGCTTCTCTGTGCAAGCTGGGTATGAGTTCAGATGGATTATGTAATTTCATGTGTTAGGAGAAAGAAGATTCATACCAAAGTGAGGACTTCCAGATCCTTCAGATACGTGCGCTCAGTGGTGGAAACTTCTTTAGCAATGAAGTACGCCTTGTCGGTTGGAAATCGCTGAAAAAAAATCAAGACACGACAATCATTTTTGGGTAGAAATCTCTGAGAATGTCCTGATTATAAAAGAAAGTCTGGTGACTCATGTCTGTCATCCTAGCTACTCAGGAGGCTGAGGTTTGAGGATTGAGATTCCAAAGCCAGCCCAGACAGGAGAGCTGCCCAGATTCTTATCTCCAATTAGTCAGTAAGCAGCCAGCAGTGGAGCTAAGGCTCAAGTGGCAGACCAGCCTTGTGTAAAAAACACGTAAGGGACAGAGCCTGGACCCTGAGTTCAAGCCCCAGTACTGGCAAAAACAAAAAAAGTCTTGAGTTAAGTGATATGTGACTAAGTTAGGAAGGATCTTTTGTTGGTATCAAGATTAAATAAACTCTCATTTATTGTCCTATCTAGGCTAGAGGATCTAGGATGAAAGAATGGGTTTCCTCATTGTGGACAAGGGCTGGGAGGGCTCTCCTCCTAACCACCACCATCTCCTGGGGGCCTCGAATCCTTAAGGCACCCCACAAAAAGACCAAGTCGGCCTCTCTGAGCCACGGGCTAGAGATGTTGGTGTTGGTGAAGTTTCATGAAACGGAAGTTGCAGTGTTCCTGGGACACCCGAGGTGGGTGGGTTGAAATCAGCCGACCATACCACTGTGACCCAATTCCCTGAACCCTAGCAGTCAGAGAGCAGGCCAGCCACCCAGGATGCTTTTCCCACTGGCTGCCATCTTGCTTACTTCCTGTAAAAATCCACCCCATTCTAGCTCTTGATATATACACGGACCTGGAACGAGAGCCCGAACAAACATGGACCTGGAGGTCCATGGCAGCATTAGCCACAAGAGCAAGACGTGGGAACGTCCTAGCTGCCCCCTGCCGATGAATGGATAAGAGAATATAGCCCACCCATGCAATGGAATATTACGCAGCCTCGCAAAGGAGGGCATTCTGGCCCAGACTAAGATGGCTATGAACTCTGAGAGCTTTATGCTAATGTAATAAGCCAGTCACAAAAATGCTTTCTGACTCTATTTATACGAGGTCCCTAGAATAACTAAACTCATAAAGATAGAAGGTAGAAGAAGCTGTGAGGGGCTGGGGGAATGAGTGTCTGTTAGGGAGGATGGAAGTTTTGCAATAATAAGAAGGGCACTTCCAAGTAGTACACTTTTTTTTTTTTTGGTCTTGTGTACATACACACACACACACATACATGCACGCATGCACGCACGCACGCACACACACACACACACACACACACACACACACACACACAGCCCAAGACCCTGCCAGCACCTTTCTCCGGCCCTCTTCTTCATCATCGGTTCTGGGGCAGGCCTGGTCGTTCAGCAGCGGGCTGATCAAGGGAGAGGCCTGCTTGGTGTCAGGGCTCAGGTTTGGAGACAAGCTGGCGTTGGCGGGGACAGCTCCTCCCTGAGAGTTGACGGACAGCTCTGAAAGGTGGGGGCTACCTGTCACGGAGCCTGTTTGGGGATGAGAAGTTTCAAAGAAAATAGTAATTCCTTTGGGGACTTCATTTCTATTTACAACTTTCACCTCTGCAAATCTTGACAGCCTTAACCACCGCGTGGCAAAGTTCATGCATTCAGTATTTTCTAGCTTTTTTTCCCAAGTTGCAGTTGCTTTAGTTAAGTACAAGGAAGGACCAAATGATGCATCATTCAATGGAGCAGCCTCAGTTACAGAATTACGGGTAAGATGAAGAAGCCTGAACAAATGATGAGGATAGCTTCAAAGCATTGCAACACCTGCGCTCCTATTTTTCTCTCCTAACTACTGCTTTTGCACCTAAGACACAGTATCTACATCACAATGAGACAAGGAAAAATGATTAGGGTAAATAGAACTAAACTAACAGGAATCTAAGCGACATACTACACCTTATCACAATGGGTCACAGCTAACATACAGGTCAAGCAACTAGCTCCCCACTCTACAAAGAACAGAAGCAAGCTTATTGTACCTGGCGATGTCCGTGTCTGCCACTGTGTGGGACAGAAACACTAGCATCACATTACATGCAACGGTGGTCATTTAAAAATGCAAGCTGGAGATCACCAGAATATCAGTTTCCCTTTGAGTCAAAAATGACAGGTAGTAAATTAGTTCCCCAAAATGGATAGCGTATTTGATAGTATAAAAATATACATATTACCCATAAAAAGGCAGCCACAGGAGAAGACACGTACAGGGCACGCATTGCCAATATAAAATTGCAAATATCCATACCCCCAGCCCATTAAGGTGCCAAACGGTACCTCCTAATGACAAAGACAAAATAGACCTACTCCCTTGTTTGTCTTGACCTAATACATTTATAGTTCTAGTGCAGATTTGTTAGGGCTGATAGCAGGTACACAGTTACCATAGTAACGACAGACAACGTCAGTACTTCTTTCATTTTCAGGCTCATGGCTACTCGGCGCGCTGTTAAGGATCTCCAAGGAAAAGGTGAAATGCAATTTCCTGAGGCATTCCCATCTCCCTGACCCTCTATCCTCTCCCGCCGTCGCTACTCAGATGCGTTTTGAAAATGGCAAGACTCAGCAGCCTAGGAAGGGGCTGATAAAGCAAGGGGAGTAGATTTGATCCCAGTAGGACCTGACCATGGAGAAACCACCACCAGCCTCACCCTGCTCCCAGGTCGACCAGTTATCTGCGTCACCAAGGCAGGGGTGAAAAGCCACTGCACCCAGAAAACCACAAAGCGGATGTCCTGCCCACTGATAATTGGTCAGTCCTGTGCTCCTTGAATGAGAAGAGTAGAAATTGTGAGGGGGGGGGGAGCAAGCATCAACAAAGTTTTGTGTTTGTTAAAATACCTCATATTTCACTGAAATGAAGTCCTGGTGTTAGATAAAGACCCAATCACCCCACACAACCACCAGACCCAGTTAACCCCGGAGAAAAAGGCCAGAAATTGCTTCACAAATGTCAATTTTATTGACACTAGTGCACAATTGAATACAATAATTGTGAAAGAATCGGAAGTTGTCAAATAGAAATAGTGACAATATATTATTAGGACTATAATTATTTCAAGGTACTAGACTATTCTTTTTTTAAAAAAAAAGAATCACAAGGAGAAAAAATCACTACAAATGAGAATTAGAAAAGAGAAATTCTGGCAGTTTGTCTACAGATTAAAACATTTCATGCATTTGTGAGCTGCTGTTTAAGGGTCACTATTTGTCCACCAATAATCTAGCAAAACGTGGGGCTTACCGTTGGCTCTCAGGCAGTGTGCAAGACAGGGTGAGGCAGTTATAAGTGAGAACGTGCTGGGCCTTCAGTCTGCAGTGTCATGGACCATTTGAGAGAGTTGGAGCCAAGAACAAAAGGTTGTTAGAGGAGGCTAGCTTGAAGGGGTAGTGTGGAAGGAAAGATTCACATTCAGGTCCTGGACAGCATCCAGCAATAGATAGGAAAGGAAGTGCCACATGGCAAGGGGAAAATCATATGCACACATTCCAATACAGCCACATCCACCCACTCTAGTCCAACCTTAAGGCCCCTGCTGAGTTCTACCCAGGAATGTTTGTACTTAATAGACTAAGTAGGCTGGAAGGTTAAGGCCACACACTGGGTTCCAGGAGAGGTGCCATCTTGCAAGGAGGCATGAGATATTTTAAAGAAGAGAGTCAGATTTGGAAGGACCCGCCACCCCACACTGAACTACAACAGATAGGAAATGGAAGGTTCATGTGAGCATCAGCATCACCTATGGACAGGTAAAGCAGGGCACGTCCCAGGATCAGCCCACAGGGTGCTTTGTGAAAATGTGCTCTAGTTCACTTGCAGCAATGTAGCCTAAGATGTGTGCACCTACCAACTTTATCAGAGTAATATGCACCTGGAGGCGTGGCCAAAGGAAGAATGATCAGTTTCCTTTTCCTGAGAAAGGTCTGCATTTTATCATAGGGCTTAATGGAAGAGTTGGGTGTACTTACTCAGTAAGACCAATAAATCAATTACCACCAGTCTGACTTCGAAATCTATTGAGCAAGTCTAAGGAAGACAAAGATCCAAATTTCTAAAGTTCAATTTCACAACCGCCACCCGCCCCCGCTTCCCTTCTTGCAGGAGAAGGTACGGGAGGCTTTGAAATTTTATAGGTGACACAGGAAAACAAAAACAAAAAACCCTCTCATTCATTTACCAATTTTTCCATGCAGCAACCAATGAAGTTTGCTGGGAGTCAGTGTTGGCAAACGTCTATATAAACCGGTGTCTGCAGAGGCAGGAGTGTAGAGAGCATATAAAGGAAGCAAATGTTGGAAGTTGTAATGATTAGAACTACATGTACTTGATGGTCACTGAAGTATCGTTTTATAAAATGATAATAATAATAATAATAAGCAAGCATGGCCCTGCTAAGTAGATAAAGTGAGCCATTGAGACTTCTGCAGGGTATAAAGCCCGGCACATTTTGTAGTCTGTCACCCGCTTTGAAGGCACAGCCCCAGGCCACAGGAGCAAGGAGGCGAAATTCTGACCGCCACTGACTGCTTGTTACTCAATGAAATGATTGAAGTCTTGGCTTTTTTTTTTTTTAATCACGTTTCCTTCATAACAAATTGGCACAATGTAATTTCTTTCATCGAGGAGCTCTGGGCAAATCACATTGGGGGGTCCCTGGAGGAAGCCCTTGGGAATTAAGGCAATAGTTCTAAAGAAGTATAGGGAAAGAGCCATGGTCTTTAACCTCCGAAAGTTTCTAGGGGTTGAAAGAATATTATTCTAGAAATTGTTCTGCCTTTTTTTTTTCTTCTTCCAGCCATTCAGTTACACTTCAGACCTTCTCCCCCACCCCCAACCATTAAGTTGCATGAAGAGGTTTGGGTGTTTATCCCAACCCCCAACCCCGCCTTCCCCTTCCCTCCCTGCGGGCTGGCCAGGCCTCTGTAACACACAGCTCTCAAGGGAGGCATTTCTGGTAATTGCCTTTTAAAATCTTTTTAAATGTATACTTTCTCCTCACACAAACAATTACGGAACTTCAAATTAGCATGGCTATATTTATGGATTTCCATTTATCACTGAGGACAGAAACTGCCCTAGTGGCTCTAGGTTTTTTTTGTTTTTGTTTTTTTTCATTTAGAATACATTCTTCATTCTCTCCTGGCCCAGTGGGAGGCTGCATTCCAGCTTCCTCTGAGGCAGAGGTTCGGGACACCCTGGGGTGGGTCACCAGCAAGACAACTTCGTGACTTTTGTCCCCTGGAAGGACTGGACATGAGCTTTATCCTAACCTCCCATCTCTTCAGCTTATGCTTCACCCATTCCAGGAAAATTGAGGTGGGGGCGGGGGAGAAGCAATCTATTTTCAAGTAATTAACAAAAGGCATTTCAAATACTTAGTCGTATTTGCCCCGTTTTGTAAACTGGTCACTAAATTGGCAATCTCTATTTTTTTGTTGTTATTTGTTTACAAGATACCTATTATTTTTCTACCTGAAAAATAGGAATCTAGAAAACCTGACTGTAATTTTCAAAATTGTAATCTACAGTCAGCTTATGAAATGCTTAAACATGTGAGAATGAGAACATTATTTGCTCAATTTCTCTTTTCAACCGTCTTGCAACATATCTTGAAATAAAATGATTCCTTTTTGCAAGCTTCTTTTGCAAGATGCCACCCATCTACCATGATTTGTCTCCTGTTACTGGCTCTAAAACACAGGAGATTTTTTTACTTACCCAGAATATGTGCAAAGGCACCTATAGGAATTACACTAGAACTGTAGAGGTGCGTCTATTTTTAAAAGGCCATGTTAACATCCATACTCCCTCCCTCTCTGAAAGAGAAGACAATGAAATCCCGTGAGATTTTGAGTGCTAGTTTTCATGGTGAGTTAGAGGTGGGCAATGGAGTAAGGCAGGACTCACAGCACTTCAGACCTGGGTTGAGTTCCCGCTAGGTGACTCCTACGGTAACAGCTGGCACTGTGTCACTGCAACGAACCACCAGGTCCGGATGACCAACACTAGTGTCCGTGTCTTCTTCTCGATACCTCAGGCTGCTGAATGTGTGTGTGTACGTCTCAGAGCCACTTCCTTTACAAACACTTTTACAAGCAGCTAAGCATCATCCACTTCACATTTCATCATCAAGCAATTCAGAAAAGCAACAGTGATGTAACTTGCAGGTAAAGAAGATAGAGATGTCACTAACGGACAAATGGTAGTGAACACACAAGCTTGTTCCTGCTTGCGGGGAAAGGATAGGGCAGGCTGATTTGTTTGAAGATGGTGATGTGGGGGGTGGGGAGTGGCATGGTGTTCGGAGGGGTGTACACGGTGCTTCATATCCATGAACAATATCATCTTGAACTCAGGACAGGCTTCAGCCATTGGTGGGGAAAGAACAATTACAATTGACAGTTTTTACAGCAAGATACCTGTTAGAACAAGTAAAAGCCTCTTCAGTTTAGGTTAACAGGAGAGGTTAATACTGTGCAAA